CTGAAAACCTACAGTTATACTTACCTAGGCTTGTAGTATAGAACTACATATGCAAAAACGGCTCAGCATTGCTTTGAGAAAATCAGGGAAATTTTCGTTTTCTCAGTTTCTAGTCAAGGAAAAAATACGACAACTGCACATATGGATATTAGATATCGATAGTATTGATGTCAGCAAGTGGGAGGTCCGTAGAAATTATTTGGGCGAAGATCTGATTTTTTTCGATTTTTTGGGCATTTGGAAATCTTTAGATTTTGAGTTCGAACTCTCAGTGGATCGAGCATGGCGCAAAGACATGAGTGCCATCTTGTAGAGCTTGCTTTGCTCTATCGAACAGTGCCCCTTACCCTTTGTTAGGTTGAGTCTGGTTGCTTTGTTAAAGCAAGCAAATAAAAACGTGCATTAATTATGAGACAACCTAATATAAAGCTGAATGTCTGTTTGTATGTTTGTATGTATGTCTGTATGTATGTACGTATGTTCCAGAGAGAAATTTTTATTTCTAACCGATCCGGACCAAACTTTGCACTCATACATTTTACAGGCTACTTTTCGTCATCGATCGATATTGATTTTATTGATTTTTCAAAAAGTTCGAGCTATGGGCTGGGAGTTGGCACAGGGGGGTAAGTGAGCATGCTGACTACGAATACATTATTGACAGGGCCGGACGCCGGGTTTGCCAGCTAGATTTTTTTATATATTAGATCTGAGTTGTGAAATGAGCAGAATTAGTCAAGATTGCCTCGAGCTCGGCAGTAGATAGTACATTGCTGTAGAAAAAGAAGCTTCAGTTTTATTATAGAAGCTCTAAACATGATATAACTTCTTATTAGGTCGTGGAATTGATTACAGAAAGAGTGGACCTACATGATATCACATGCATAACAATCAATCGAGGTTTCTTTTACTTACAGTATTCCTGTTTGAGTAATTAAAGTATGAACCGCGAAACGAATAGTAGCGTCGCCGCACTTGTCCATGATGGTCATTGTTGCCCTTATTTTTTGGCATCCTACATACTGATGAGCGAACTATGCTGGAGTGTTCTTGTGAATGCGTCATGGAATCCACCGCAATGACAATGCCTTCTGTCAGAGGCCGTATAAGAGGTGTGCTACTGCACACCTGACCATATTCATTCTGTGATGATTCTAGTATGGAGGCCTGTTCTGTTAACACTCTTTTTACGTGGGTGTTTCCAACATGTTCAGCGTTGCCATAAGATCTCGTAAACCTTTTTCAGAGGCTCTGAATTCACATCAATCTGAAAGCGGAATCAACTCCGAAGGAGACCCTCGCGGCAGGTGAAGAGCTGTTACTTTATGAGTCTCAGCCAATAACAATAGCTTTCATGATTTGCTGTTAGTCAATGAGGATGGGCGATCATACATGCTAGGCGGTGAAAGGTAATAAAACCATATCCGTTTTGAGACCTTGTTTTCAAACTGACCGGTTCAGGGAGACTGTACTAGTAGTGTAGCTTCACTGGCGTTCATCTGCATTTTCACGTCTCATAGGGAATCTGTGGGCAAATTCAACAAATGTAAGAACGTTTCTAAGGAACTACAAGCAAAAAGAGTTGCTATCAGCACTATGTTGTGCTTCCTTTTTGAATGACTTGACTACCGCCTAAAGTATCGGTCAGAGTTTTCCAGTGTTGCCGGTGATGAAAGTGTTGCCGGTGTTGAAAGCATTGATTGTGGAAATCATTAGTCTTGCGTTTCGTTCCTCCTCGCGATCTCACCGCCTGGTGAGTACGGTACGATTGAAATGGAAATGGGAAATCTATATATATATATATATATTTATATTTATATTTATAAAATTCAAAGTCTGTGAGGTGTCGTTAGGTTGTTAGAACGTTATAGAAAGGCTAGCCGTTGAACCGATTGAGCTAGACTTCGCATTCGTAAGTTTTCGACCCCGGGTGGTTTGAGGCTACTTTTCGCGACGACACTGGGCCCTTCTACTGTTTTATTAATTTATTTCCTTAATCAAGGAAATGACATCCATTATGGAATCATCTTTCCAGGTCAATTAGAAAGGGACGGTAAGGATTGTTTACACTTTGCGGTGAGGAGGATGCGGTCTTACGAATCTAGGCGGCTGAAGGAAAACATTTTCACTCGGATAATGAATGGGAATGGAAATGCTTTCGCATGCAGGAGATTCTCATACAAATTTTTTGAAAAGTGGAGGACTTGTTTAAAATAGGCAGTCTTCAGTATTCAAGAACGCTGCAAGACCTTCATGAGGTAAATGACCTTCAACACCTAACACGCATTACTCATCAGATAGCAGCGTTCCGAAATTTGGGAGATTGCCTATTATAGACAAGTCTTCTACTTTTCGAAAAGTTTGTATGGGAATCTTTTGCATGCGAAAGTGTTTCCAATTTTATTCCGATTTCATTTCCATTTCCATTTCAAACGTACTCACCAGGCAATGAGATCAAGGAAGAATGAAACTGCAAAACTGATGATTTCCACATTCAAGCTTTCTACAGCGCACCTTTAACACTTTCAACACTGGCAAGATGGCAAGCATAACAGGAGCATAACAGTACTAATTTAAACATCTCTTATATCTTTTATGTGAAAGGCTCATCGCATAGCGTGTAGGGGATTGTGCTTAAAGTTGTATAAAGTCGAATTTGTCACCCTATCTGCTTCAGCATGCTTCTACCTATCTCATATATTTACAGTGAATTAAGGCTTCGTTTTCACAATAAAATTAGAAAATTGTGCCTCTGCTACTCTACAGTCTGAACTTCCTTTTGAAATATTTTTGTGTGTGCATTTTTTAATATCAGGGACTAGGCTTAAGTAATAAATTTTTTGAAGTGAGCACATTTACATTTGTAAGATTCTTATAGAAGGAAAAAGAAAAAGGTTGTTTGTTTGGCTGAAGTTTTTCCTGAAGTTTGGCAGCACATTTAGGACAACAACTTTTTCTTATGATGACGCTTTCTTACATAAATGCAGAATGAGCTAAAAAGGCAGGTTGACTGATTATGATTACGAATTTTTGAGAGTGGGCATAAAAAGCTGCCCCACGACTGGTCCTTGACCATTACTTCGCCAAGTGAAAGAGCAAAAATGCAGTATGTATGCACTGCGTTTAATCTTTTTCTTGCTCTCTTTTTACCTTTCTCTTTGCCGTCTCATTCAGACTTGTAAAATTTGCTGATTTAGAAGTGAAGCGTGGTCTCAAATATTAAAGAATAAAGGTGGTACATAATTATGCGAACACTCTTAATCCTGATTTCTGGACTTTTTGGAAGGAACTCAAAAAGCCGCTGGTGCTACGTAAAAGGGTATGCTTCAAAATGGCATAATCGAAACGTGCTCAACACAAGAACGAAAAGCGGTGTCAATCTTACAAAGGAAGGATACTCGGCGACCGTGGCCATTTGGAGCGCAATGTATACCTAGAATACATCTCAAAAAGCTAATTCTAAATCTGTGCTCGATATCTGCGAAACAATCTTCTGAAAGAAGTTATGAACTTTTTTCGTAGAAAATTTACGTGCTTTTGTGTAGTTAAAATCACCAAATTTGTTCTAAGTTACCGTTCAAAGCTACTGAAGTATCTTAAAAGGCATACTGTTGAATTTTACCTAGAATCAAATTCAGCATTTGAAAAAGGAAGAAAATTTTTTATTGATGATATTGACCCTCCGCAGTAGCGCAAATTATTCATGAAAAAATAATTATAACTCTATCCAGGTTATCAGTTTGCAGATGGGGAAGACACCATTCAAACCAGCATAAGAAGCGCATTTTTTGATGTACAAATCATTACGAATGGCCATGGTCACCCATTATCCTTCTCTTGTTAGTGATGAATTTCGTTTTTTTATCTGTTCGTAATAAACGGACTTCTAAGGAACGCTTCTTTTCTCGCTCAAACCTGCGAACTTTCGATTCAAAACTTTTGTATACTTACAGTGGGAATTAAGAGTTTTGTGTTAAGTGCAACTCAAAAATTTTGCGTTACTCTTCTCAAATGCCTCATATTGCTTTTTAAGGTATTCCGCAAAACGTTTTTCTGTGGCTTAGAGACCCCGATCTGCCGGTAGCAAGATTTTGTGACACACTAAGTCAATAATATGTTGTACCTATTGACTACCGCAAGAACCTTGTGTATTCATTGCTTTTTGGCCAAACCTCTTTCAAAGCTGAGTTAGCATTTTGGGCCTCAAAATTTGACTTTTGCTATCCACAAAGTCCTTTAGAGAAGTGAGCACTTATGATAGTATGTAAGATTGTGTGTTTAGCTAAGAAAGTTTTGCAACCGCCTAACATCGTTTCGGTCTGTGTATGCTAACGTCATGATTTTTCTTGCTCTTTGGCTTCAAAGCCTCAAGATTAGCTGTGGTAAAAAAGATATTAGCGCGGATGCTAAGCAGTGTATGACTCCAAAAGCAATTTGAAACTTTTGTGGAGTAACGTTTTCCTTTTGAACTACACTGGGATTGGTGCATAGCAGATGTCTCGGAAACTCTTGAAATAAAGGTATTATTTTTATACAAGAACGCATTACGATTTCTGATTCTTAGCCTACGCAAGTATGCGAATTATGAACGACTTAGGATGATGTAGTCTGGAAAAAATTTTTTTTGCAGACGCCATCCAAGATCTCTTGGCGGTCTCTATACTGCGCTTGGTGTGTTGGATTTAGTTGGTGGGTTCAGTATATACAAGTATTTACATTCTTTACAAAGTGTTTTAGGTGGAGGGATAAGGTTGGCTGCGGATGCAACGAATCTCGGAGGATCAATTTTATCGGTCGCTCAGATGCTTTCACAGCCGCCGCCACAACTTGGCGGCGGTGCAGATATGCAGTATCCACAAAATCAACAGGATATGCAGTTACAGAATGTACAGAATGTACAAGATATGCAGAATCCGCAGTCACAAAATCTGCAAACGCAACCTTGTAGTAAGCTAAACTACTTCTTTAGCACCTCAGTTCTTCTTTAAATTTTTCTGCAGCTGCGACATTCTCGTACTACGCTTCCAATGGGAACCCAGTTTACCAATGCGACTGCCCTAGTGGAACCTCGTATCAATACCTTAGATGTGTGAATCCGGATGAATCTGGTGCGCCAGATGTGCAAAATGCGCCTGATATGCAGCAACAGAATGTGCAAGATGTCCAGGAGCAGCCTTGCAGTAAGCTTAGCCTTTTAGTTTTTTCAGTGTTTATGTGAACTTCTGCAGCTGCGACATTTTCATACTACGCCTCCGATCGCCGTCCTATCTACCAATGCGACTGTCCTGGATATGGGATTTCTTATCAGTACTCTCGGTGCTTATCGCCTAAATACGCTAGAAGCTAAGCTCGTAAATTGCTGATCTCTTCAATATCAGTATATTAGATGCTTGCCACTAGTTTAGAGCGTAAACGTTAGTAACAGTGTGATCTCCCTGATGTGCATTCTTAACACTACCTATAGTTGGGAATATTGAAGAAGGTTACAAATATATATTTTTCGAGACTGTTGTAAAGATAAACCCATTCCTTCAAGAAATGCTTGCTTTAGATGCAGACAATTTGCAGTGAAGCCTTACTCTTTGATTATACAGAATTTTATTCGAATTCGTGCAAGCTTGGCAACAAATTTGATAGCAAAGTTGAAGGTAGTATTCGTGACACGAAATCAATAGGGCACTTCAACTTTTTTTATCTTGCATTTCTTTTGATTAACACTAAACATTCGCATGTTAACAAAAAATTCTAACCACGCTAGTCAGGTTAGACAAACTTTTTAGACGACTTCCGAACTTGTGCCGTTGTACTTTCTTAAGACAGGAGAATACTGTTGAAAATGCTTTACAGGTTCTCTCCAATGTTGACTGTGCAGAAATACTTTCATAGTTTTGAACAAAAGAGGCAGTCTTGAAAAAGTGCGATATTTGAGGCAGCATTCCAGGCTAACAACATGTTTTCACCTATATAAAATGAGAGAAATATGAGGGAGATTGCATACGCATTGATAAAGCGTGAAAAGTCCTATTGGGTGCTGTTCGTCAAAAATGAGCTCATTCAGTAACCTTGGCAAAAAAAATAATAAAGCGTTTCCCATTACTTAAAGGCAGTGGGTCGGCAGAAGGAGACCCGTGGCAAAACAGGTCACAGGGTAGGAGCCCCCATAATGGAACCTATGGGCCAAAGTTCGATCTTTCTCGGCCACTTCTAACCCCCGAAATTTCAAAGCGAAAGCAGCGCTCATTTCCTGTCCTCTCCGACTTCGCCCACCCCACAGACGAGTGAACGCGAAGCCTGTCATGGCAAAGATGCAGAGTCGTTGCGGGACCTCATGCTTATAGCATTACGGCTGCGCGCTCTGACCGTGGAAGTCACCCGTCCATGGGGTGGGCGTGGTCGGAGAGGACAGGAAATGAGCGCTGCTTTCGCTTTGAAATTTCGGGGGTTAGAAGTGGCAGAAAAAGACCGAACTTTGGCCCATAGGTTCCATTATGGGGGCTCCTACCCTGTGACCTTGTTTTGCCATGGATCTCATTCTGCCGACCCACTGCCTTCAAGGCCATATCTTCTGCAAAGCGCCATGGCCACCAAAATATCGTGAGCGTCTTGTGACAGTCTCTTCACCCGTTGCAACACAGATATTTTCAGTAGCCTCACTTATATTTCAGCGGCGGTGCTGCTTACAAGGGAATGGTCAGAACTCGTAGTGGCCAATCCAAACAAGCTGCATACTATTTGATGCAGCATAAAACGCCGAGTTTGAATCTGTATTCCGTGTCTGCTTAGAGCCTATGTGGGCGAACTTATGAGCCGTTAAAGGCCGATACTTTGCTAAGAAATCGTGTACGCAAAGCACAAATTTGGCTGTACAGAGCCATGTTCGGCTTAATTCTGGGCCAAAACATGCAGCTAGGTTACTTCATATTCTTGAAACCTAAAAATGAGCTGAAAATGCAACAAAGTGCTCGATTTCGTATTTTTTTTGTACGATTATTTCCCAATAAAGTCACTTACAACTTCGTTCACAAAGGCGTTAAGCAAATATGGAATACAGTTCCGAAATCAGCGTTGAATGCTGTGTCGTGGTAGGCAGCTCGTTTGGATTGGCCACTTCGACTTGGACCATCCCCTAGTTAGAACGCAAAATATGAAGTGACGAGCATTGACTTTGAGCACTTAGAAACTAACGCCATGCGGCAGTGCCCACAGACCTCGATCAGAGGATTTCAATATGTACTGACATGCCAACTTGTGCATCCATTGAATTCTTCATTCGAGAAAATTGCATTAGTTTCTAGGCCCAACATTACTTTTGCTTCACCGTCATAGTTTGACAAATGCATAATATGCCATTTGCGCGATCATCGAACGAAACAAAAATGCAAAAAATGCATGTGATTTCTCAATATAACAGGGGCTATGTATGAACAAAATTTTTTTACTACGGTGGAAGGGGCGCCCGACATACGTTGCAAATACTACAATTCAACGATGCTGTAAAGAAAGTCGTTCTAGATTTATAGAATGTCAACTCTGAAGTTCAAATGATTGCCAGCATCGGTACTTTACCTTACTTCTCTTTCATGTAGAACTAATAAAACCCAGATGTTTAGTGGCTGTTATAATTATCGTAATAATGCAAAATACATAAATTAAGGTCTCTCCAAATATCTTTTTCAAGCCCTTTTGCTTAAATGGCATTAAAGAATCTCAAAAATATTACCATCATATCACTCAATCAAGAAAATTGCAAGACAATTGGTCAGCGTCGTAACACTTGTCGATGGAGATGGAGACTATTGGCCTTGCATTTCTAAGAATTGATGGACAATTTCCTTGACCAAAGTATAAAGTTTTTGGATGCGTCACAGTACCCGCTGTTGGTAGTCAGCGGCATTATAAGAGGTTTACAGCACACACGCAATCATGCTCGTTTGCGATGAATTTATTTTGGCGGAGTTTTGTTTTGCTGACGCTCCTACGTAAGTGGTTTGAAGTATGTTACAGTTCAATATGCGCATATAATCGTTATATTGTTTTTAGAGTCATTGAACTTATGTGAAGACAGAAGCAATAACACAGACTCTGAAAAAGATCCTCGGGGCGGGTAAGATTTGCTTTTTCTATTTTCCTTAATCCAACTTTCATTGTTTGTTTCGTATCTATTGGATCTGAGCAGCTTGCTATTCATCTTGCCACAATCAATTTCATGTTCTGAGGCTTTTGAAGACAGAAACTCGGCAAATTTTGTTCCGAGTATGTCGCCGATGTGGGCTTATTCGATACGCTGATCCTGATAATCCATTTGAAGATCGAAATGGCAAAAAAAGGCATTTATCTAAATTTTGTTTTGAATATAAACAAATATTACAGTTCTCGCCACGAAAAAAAAATGCCATCGCGGGATTCTAGGTTTTGAGATTGCTACGTGCCGCTTTCGATTTTAGGGAGAAGTGAACTCAGCCGAACCTGAGCCGACATTAAGCCATCCTGGAGTTGTTGTATAATTAGTATATTCAGTTTCCCTGAAATTGTTTCTGGTGCTTAATTGGGGCAGCGGGACAAGAGAACTTTTGCTTTGAGTCTAGGTTTTTAAATTGCCTACCCACAGCTTTCAATAGCACTTGTTGGCACCAAAACTTCAACGTTTAAATAGCGATGCCATAATATTCCGCCATTATACAGCGTTTCAATGAGAATTTTTACTAGGAAAAACTTTTTGAGCATGTTAACAACAAGCGCTAAGCCTTTTGATTGAAAATCTGGATCAAGAAGTCCTACAAATTCCCTTTTCAGTTTCCAAAATTCAACAAATTCACGTTCATCTTATTGAAGCCCCTTCACAATTTTCTTCTTGTTTTTGTGTTTAAGCAACTTTTTTTTCGATTTTGATAGGTATGGAATTTTTGCTTTTTCATTCATGGTTTTCAAGTGCAGATTTTTTTAACGAAAACCTGAAAATCATGTGAGCAAAGGGTGGTTCAGCTCAGATGATACCTAGCCGAGCTGAAGCCGACAAACGGTTCCAGCATATGGAAGAAGGAGCCGTGTTTGCTATCACATAAGTTTTCATAAGCTTTGAGCCACAGTTCAAGCTCCTTCACGCGCTGCATCGTTTGTAAACAGAGCATTTATTTATTTGGGGCATAATTTTGAATACCCGCGCTGTACGACGACTTGTTGAAACGTGTAGTATTGACCCTGCTACAATTTTTCACACCGGTGAGGAAGCGTAAGGTTCGATTCTTATGTATCTCTCTGCGATGTATTTCGGGGCTCTTCTTTGATCCCAAAACGATGTCCAGCTTGACCCGCTTCCAGCTGTGCCGAGCCCTGCTCATGATCTTGGGAGTGGTTACATGAGACAAATTTCCAAGAAGTTACTTAGACTGGAAAGCGTTTATTTTGGTTGAGCCTGCAACTGCTGATTGTTGAGTGTTCAGTGTTCAGGAATGTACATTTGAAAGTTCAAAAACACAGTGTTCATCCATTAGCACATGCAGAAATTTTAACATAGGAATCATTACTTCTGTGAACTGTTTATGTGCTGCTTTGCGCACTGATTAAAGGCTATTGATTATCATAATAAACTTTTGCAATACCGGTCTCACTTACATCGTGCGGGTGCTGCACAAAGACTTTATAGCTCTCCCTGAATTGTGACATTTGCCATAGCCTAAGGATATCAAAGAGCCTGAATCCGTACTATCAAAGCAACTTTATGAAGCTACTCCGTCAGCACTGGCTAGAAATTGCGATGAACAAATCGAAGATTCAACATAGTACGGCAGAACGACCGGCGACGTCGCAATGTTCATTTCCTCCAATTTAAGAAAAACGATATTTGTAGTAGCGATGTGTACCATGTGCGACGTAGGTTGATTTGATTATTAGCTGATATTGAGATCTTGTTTCCATCTTTCAAGAAACACAGCGATTTTTCTCATGAGGCAAAATTTAAGATTTCAAATTATTTTCAGTTTTGGTCGGTAAAAAAACTAGCATTTCAGACGCCATTCTCGATCTCTCGGCGGCCTTTATACTGCTCTCGGAGTTATAGACTTAGTTAGTGAGTTCATCTCTTGTCAACCGTATCCGAATTCACATGACATGTGTTCAGGCAGTATACTTGGTTTATCTTCTAGTGCTGCTTATCTTGGAGGAACGGCAATAGAAATGTCACAGCTTCTCGCGCAGCAGCAACAAGCTGCTAATCTAGATGCGCAATTAGCGCAGCAGGAAATGGGAAATGTGCAGGATGTGCCGGATATGGGGAATATACAAAATATGCCAGCGCAATCCTGCAGTATGCTTAGTAACAATTCTACAATTTTATTATCATCTGTAACATCTGTAGGTGCAACGTTTGCGTACAGAGCTTCTGACGGCAATCCAGTTTACCTGTGCGACTGCCCTAGTGGATCCTCGTATCAGTACCTTAGATGTGTAGATCCGGATGCAAATGCACAACTTTCGCAGGATACACAGCAACAGAATGCACAAAATATGCAGACGCAGGATTGCAGTAAGCTATGCTAAAGTCGAATGCACGAAATCGCGCGGGTTTCTGTAAGCTGAACGTACGCGAGCGTGCCTGCAACGCGGCCTCGAGTACGGGCGATTTCGTGCAGTCAACTATGTATTTTTCCTTTTTTATACTCTTACTTTTTTGCATTGCAGCTGCGACGCTTGCTTACCGCTCTTCAAACGGCACTCCAGTCTACTTTTGCGACTGCCCTGGATATGGAACTTCGTATCAGTATAATAGGTGTATATCGCCAAAGTTTGCTAGAAACTAAACGCTGTAAGCAACATGATCTCACACCACGCAATTTTAAAAACCCACGTACCTTAACAAATTGAACACTTTAATAAAGATTTTTAAGAATCAAGAGATCTCCACCTTTAAACATAAATTCAACCCTTATCAGGAAAGTCTTGCTATCAAAGAAAGGTGATGACAATGGTGCATGGAACTTTGAACAATTTCATAAAAACAAAGGTTCAAAAGTAGTTGTTTGAGACACAACACTTTTTGCATTATTACAACGTTAACTAATTGCGATGTAGAAGTGCAAAGGACACACAGATTTTGAGAATACATTCTAAACACGATACTGACAGTAGCTATCAGTCCAACAATCCTATGACACTCATCGCATAAGTAAATGTGTAGGTTTCCCCAAGTATGGCAGGATATTAAACCTTGGATGAAATATATGTTTGTTGCAAAAACTTGTTTTTGCTCGTCCGCAATGGCCTTGTTCGTTTAGAAATGTCTGAGGCAATCTATAGCTAAGCTCTAAGTTAAATTTTGTTTCGGGCATATGGCATAAAGGGCTTTAGCTCCAACATATCCAAGTACATTTATTGAAGAGAAAAAAAATTCATACAAATAGAAACCAAAACCCATATGTGAAGAAATTTCGACTTTTTAGCGAACAATTCTGAGGTATCCGCTACTAATTTCTGCCCAAACCTCACAAAATTGTGTCGCATTTAAACTGAATGATCACAACCAAGATTTATCTGTAGGGTAGCACTGTAATTTACAAACCTATTGAAAATTTTGATTTCAATTTTTTGTTATATGCTGCAGCCATCCCTTACAAAATACACTTTTCCACCTCGAAAATGATTGTCGTATGTTTTTGTAAGAACTGAAGTTGTACTAAATACTCTTGCAAGCTTTACAGTCTATTCGTAACTTGAAATACTAGGAAAATTCTACAACAGTTCAAGATTCACAGAGTAGAAAGGGCTTTGCGCCATAACGTTATAATTTGTGTTTGCCATAACTACTTTCTTGTAAACGGGAAGTAAAAATCTGCGAATGTCATCAGCACGTCAATGTCCATCTGTCTTAAAATCGAATTTGAAAGCTATGTAGCAGCAGTGACTGAATCTAAGGGTATTCTATCCATACGTCCTCTATATAAGCCAAGAGAAGCTGTTTTGAATTTTGAGAGCTAAATTCTACCTAACTGAATGAATCATGTGTGCACCGAAATCTTATTTTTGGATAATTATCTCTTTTATCATGAAAATAGGCTCCCAAACTTCTGACGCATTCACACACCAACAAAAATTTACTGGCTGATCAATTTTGTATTTGTTATTACAACATTGTGTACAAGAGGCTGATGATTTTTGCAACCCACTTATGCTGTTACCTCATCAGAGCGTTCGATTTGCACAGTGGCTTGATAATCTATATTATAGGTTTGGCTGATCATCGCATCATTCCGTAGAGTTTTATCTAATTTATAATGAATCTTCAACTCAATCTACTATAAAGAATCTTTAACTTAATTCAAAAATCTTCCGATAGCGGGAAACCGCGACGGGTTCCGAAGCGCGCGCCTGCTAATCTAGCACCTTTAGATTGCTGATTCACTAGTTCTCTGTAAGTGTCAAAATTTCATAACGTTTCAAAAAAGCAGATCAACTATTTGCTGCCTACGACGGCATCCAAGATCAAAAGTTTGAAGATGTGAATTTCGTGGAACATTTGTGTCCACGGCGAATTTTGTAGAGAATGTCAGCATTAATCATAGACAAAGCTAAGTATGGATCAAACAGAAACCTTCTATGTTATTTCTGTCCAAATTATAATAATCAATATTCGTCAGGAAGTTCCTTCATAGCCACGAAAGAACTCCCGGGGCAAACTGAGCTTCTTAAAATTCCGGGCGGACGCTCCTATTTGGTCCGTGTGGCGTGGGCCCCGTTCTGGCTGGCAGCTCCAAAAGGAGTGTTCCCCGGGAAGTTTTCGAAGCTCAATTTGCCCCGTAAGTTCTTTTCCGATTGTCTAAGAAGATTCAAGCAACTTACCTTTTCTTACAAACATCAATGAAAGTTGCTGAATAAATTCCGAACAATCACTTAAGATGATGAAGACTGTTGCACATACATTCGTGGACGTAGACGAACTGATGAGACAAACTGTTAACCAAACTCCGCTAAAGTTCTTATATATACGTCACAACCCGATAGGTAATACTGATGACCGGTATTCTCTATGCACTGCGTTATAAGAGGTTTGCAGTATGCATGACCGTTCTCATCTTTTGCAATGCTAATATTTTCAACAAATTTTACTATAATAACGCTTGCCCTATGTGAGTAACTTTCAAATTATCATGTAAAATTGCATGAATTTATAAGCATTTGAACATTTGTAGGTTTATTCACTTGTGAAGCTCAAAGTGAAGAAGAAGAATTTGAAGGAAACAACACAAAATTGGAACAGAGGAACAATTTTACCTGGGGCGGGTAAAATTTATTTTTCTTTGGTCCTCGAAACCATTGATTGTGCGCCTGATCTTATTATATTGTCTTAAAAAACGTGATGCAAGCGTTTCACTCATGAGATAACATCTTGCCTTTGATTGTTCTTGGAGTTGTTATGTTTATGTTTACAAAGTATTTTGAACTCTCATTTATAGGCCTGTGCCTAATTTCACAATTTCTTCCTACCGTTAATGTAGGAAGTTTTTATCTTCCTGTTGAGCATCATGCTTTTAGAAATAAGCTCTGTTAAGTACATCTCAAAAACCTCAAGCAAATGCAAATAGGAATAACCTTTGATTTGGCTGTCTTGGTGGCTGGGCGGGTGCGCCCGCGACGCAGTCGGCGTCTCTCTCGCGCCTGTGCTCTCTGATCATTCTCTAGCCTTGACTAAGTCACGAAGCCCCGCCTTCCAGCTGCCAATCGGGGGTGGTGCAGGAGGAACCAAAGGGCTGCCGCCTGTATCCGCAGGAGATAATTAAGAGCGCGAGCGCTGTGGAGAACATTTTGGCAAAAATCCAAGAGGACTTAGAAAGGACATCCTTTAGAAACAAATCTTTATAACTTTCCCTGAAGATGACTTTGAAAAATTTGAAAAAGAGATTTCTAATGCAAATCGGAAGGCGCGTTCACTGGGCCTAAAAGTAAGTGAAAATTGGGTATTGTACGGGTAAAAAAAGTTAACTTCCTTATAGAAACTTTCCGTTTTATGAGTTTTGAAGTTTCAAATTATTGAAGAGCAGAATTTCCTTTCAAAATCATTCTTTTTTTTAGTTAAAGCAGTAGTTTGCCTTTTGAGCCAATAAACCCAAAGCAATCAAAATGTCATAAAAAACGTCTGGAGGCTTGTGTCAAGATGCAACATGCAGTTTGTCCCATGACTTCAAAACCTATTCTAATTCCAAATTTTGACACTAGACATCGGATTCGCCAATGAAACTGTCGGTATCCTTTAGAGGCTGTACACAAGCAAGAATCACTTGCAACTTACAACTTGTTAGTTAACATTATTTCCTGATTACCACTCCTTACTTTCAACTTCGAATTTAATAATTTCACTAAAAAAAATTCACTCAAAATCTTTCGCATAATGGACTTAAAATTCCTCAAGCTTTTAATGATGATTTTTGAAGGCTCAGGTTTTGGTAAATATGGAACTCGAGTATCGAGACAAAGTTAGTTGTTTAATTATAAAGTAGGCATATTACTAAAAATGCTATTACTAAAAATGCGTATTTCAGTACTGATTCCAAATCTGTCCTTCGTATCCTTGAAAGTTAATTTCAAGAAGAGTTATAAGGGTTGTTTCTAATAGATATCCTCGAAAAGTTTTCCTGGATCCTCGCCAAAATTTTCTACACAGTGCTCGCGCTCCTAATTATCTCCTACGGCTACTGGCGGCAGGCCTTTGGTTCCTCCTGCACCGCATCCCTGCCAATCCATTTGAATCAAAGGGTAGACGCAAACTTTTAAGAAGGTCGTCCCTTGCCACTTACTGTTGAGACACATAGACGCGTGAATTCATTCAACGTCTAGGAAATTGAACCCCTCAAAAAGCTATTTGCAAAAACGCGAACAGCTGCTTGTAAGCTCAACTGCAACTAACCGACTAATTAAAGCAAAAAGCCAATTTTACCAATAGAAGAAATTGAAAATTTTTTAGACGTCATACTCGGTCTCTCAATGGCCTTTATACAGCACTCGGCATACTTGATTTGGTCGGTATGTTCATTTCTCCGTCAACAATTCTCATGCAGTGATAATTTTTTAGGTGGTGGACTTAGATTGGGAGCAGAGATAGTAAACCTTGTAGGAGCAATTGGTTCTGTCTTACAATTACTTTCGCCACAGCAGCAACTTGCTGCGAGTATGCAGGAGCAGTTATTACAGCAGCAGCAACAATTGCAGGAAATGCAGGAAATGCAGGCACAAAATATGCAGGACCAACAGGAGATGCAGTCTCAAGCTTGCAGTTAGCCAAGTGACCGATCAAATTTTTTAACTCATCGCAAACTTTGCAGCTGCGAAATTTTCATATTACGCTTCTAATGGCTACCCAGTTTATGAATGCGACTGCCCTAGTGGAACCTCGTATCAATATCTTAGATGTGTAAATCCGGATGAATCTGTGAATCCGGATGTTATGTCAGATGTGCAAAATACGCCTGATATGCAGCAGCAGAATGTGCAAGATCAGGTCGTCCAGGAGCAGCCTTGCAGTAAGCGCGCTTAGCTCTAGTTTCAATTCTTACAATTTTTTAAAACATTTTCTGCAGCTGCGACATTTTCGTACCACGCCTCCGATGGCCGTCCTGTTTACCATTGCGACTGTCCTGGATATGGGATTTCTTACCAGTACAACCGATGCATATCGCCTAAATACGCTAGAGACTAAGCGTCGTAAACTGCTGATCTCTTTAGTATATAGCTAGACTTTTGCTTACGGTTTATCATGATCTTATTTCTTAGCGATCGACTAACATCTAGTTTCGAAAAATTTAATAAATAATTTTTTCAAATTTGTCGAGAAGTTCACCGAATAAAGCATAAATTATTGCTCTTTCTGCTCTTAGAACGACACCGCTTTATGCGTAAGACAAAGACAGCAGTGTATGCAACAGAAGAAAAATTAGAAGAATTTGGAAAGGCAATATAACTGCCTTTTCGTTTCAGTCATGCACGTATTTCAATGCCAATAATGACTCAAAAAGAAGCCATGCATGTTTTTAGTAACATGTCAAAATTTTATGGGCTTTCAAAGGTGATAGGGTATGTCTTGTCTGGAAACTGAACTTTTCCAACGGTGAACGACCCCAACTTAAAGGCAGTGGTTCGGCAAATCTCAACCTAGTCAAATTTGCGCTTACCTAGGGTTTTTCAATAAGCTGATCCCTAAAATCCACTTTTGAAAGCTTGAAAACGGCGAAAATGAGCGTTTTTAATGCCCTTTCCCTTGATATTGGACGAGTGGAGCAAGGCCGATGACGCTAAATCGTGGCAGGACCCAATGGCCTAAGGCATATCACACGCGACTTCAGTCACTGCGCGTTCTGTCACTGCAACGACTCTCCATAATTACTGGTAAGCGCTGGCTTGGGTCAGATTTGATGCGTTTGCGAGAGCTTACAGAAGACTCGCGCCTATGCATACAAAACCCGCGTACATTTAATCCGTAAGCATCTGGCAACTCGCCAAGTCGCGTGGGATTAGAATGTGCTCTGTTGGCTATGCCTATAAGCAATTTGCGTCTATAAATTTGACAATCTCGGCTTCTCGCCCATGTTAATATTGGACGTGGGTGAACGTTTCCGAGATTTTCAGCTATTTAAATTACATCAGAATCACCACGACGTAATCCAAGTAAGCGAAAAGGGAGTTGCCAGACGTATAATGAAAAGAGATTTATATCAGAACAATAACATCCTAATTTGTGTGGACAGTAACACATACGATCGCGATCCAGACAAAATTGTTTGCATCCACTCCTTTAGCTGTCAGAGCGGTATTTTAGCCCTCAGCCCCTATTAGAGAATAAAAGAGAATTGAGAAGAAACCAACAGTCATGTTATTATTGGACAAGGCAAATCGTAGACATAGCATAGAAACACAGTTGTAGGCTACTGTCTCACGAAGACGCAAATAGCGGGGAGGGGGAACGCGGTTTTATTTGCCACGGAGTGCATGAGGCACAGAGCTTGTAACAGTGAAAATACTGGTGCGGAGCGCGCTCAACTAATATTGCTTTTGTGCCTTCGCCCGGCAGTAGCCTTTATGTGAAGCCGTTAGCCCTGCTCAGGTTGGGCTAAAAAAACTTTAGCTCAAGGATCTTGTCTACTTCATGGATAAGCAACAAGAATTTTCATTTCTTCCAATTAGCATCCTCAGTGCTGCTGAGCTAATGTCAGTCTCTTGCCTTTATGTTGTACAGAATAATCAGCTACATCTTAACATCACAACAACATCATTTTTCATTTTTGAACTCTTTGTCTAACTTTTCCTTGCATTTGCTACTTGTTTTATTACATCATGTTGATCTTCACGGCAGGCATCGCAAAACAATTTCGATTTTCCTTTTCACTTGCAATAGAGACACTAATTCAATATCATCAAGTGTAGTAACTATGCAAAAAGTCTGCTAACTATATCACATTACAGCGAATCTTGCGCAGTTCCACTCAGTAAAAATTCTTTACATTGGCTCTGCAATTCCTTTGCTATAGTAGTCCCTTTCAAAGTTGACATTTCTTTTACAATCAATAAATCTTTCTCTAACCAGAAAAGCTCCGTGTTGATTACTATCGCAAATAAAATTGCTAGCACCATTCTCAATCAAAGAATTACCGCACGGCGCAACAAATTGGAAAATTTAAAAGAAAGCAATTTTCTTGAGAAAGATTTACAGCTATTGTAAGACCGTATGTGCTCGTGTTTTACTTAATGCCTGTCTTTACTTTGATTGTATTATGTCCAAGAGGATAAAACGGTGAAGATTTCAAAGGTTTGTCTAACGAATGTGTCGCTTTTCTAGAAATGTAACTGAAGCGACACAATAAATATATTTGAGTCGGTTTGGGTCTGAAAAAATGGTGCCCTTTTGTACAAATAGTGGATTTGAGAAACTAGCTGTTTTTAGTTTCGCAAATAACAAAGCGAAATAAGCCTTTTCTCTAATATGGATGTTTGGGTAGTATATTATGCCGTTCCGAAAGTAATTTCGCTGTTCTTGAGCGGCACATTCCGCGAAACAAGATTTATATGCTCTTTCAAATGATTAAATTTGACTGCAGTTTAGGTAACGAGCCTTTAAAAAATCACCAGAAGCTATAACCCATGGTATTTGCCTTAATCAAGTTGATTTTTTCGAACTTCTGTACTGATTGGCCCAAAAATCCTCATACGGGTGAGTAGAAACCGTACTGGATACGGAACAATATTTCCCCATCTACAGCTTACTTTCTAGAACTTTCGAGTTATTGTGGTGCTATTAAATTCGTACTTGGTCAATTCAAACCTCGTACAACATTGATCGGAGAGCTACTCAGGTGTTATTCAATGCAGCATTTTCTCCTCTTTTTAACAATGTTTCTGGATTCATGAATTCTTCAGGGAAATCAGCATAATTTATTATTCCAAGCGCGTCCAGGGCTATATCCGGAAAATTTGACATTTGATATCTTGAATCTGTAAACGCTCATTTGCTTTTTAGAAGTAGTGTTATATTCTAATCTTTTTGGAAATTTTGAATTCCGAAGATTTATTGGTGTCTGAAGCATTCGCATTTGAGATAGGCCCGCTAACAAATTTGATTCACTGCTGCCAAAGAAATTTTGCTGAGCTATGGGAGAAAGGAGAAATTAATTTGTATTCCATAGAGTTGCCGTCCAATACTGGGATCTGTTAGGAGGGCTGCTATATAGATTTTGTATCTCCCATGAATAGTCGTTCTGCGTAATGTTGCGCTTGTTCAAAGAGTCCGAAATGTCTGAGTGCTTTGAAGATACAAAGCTCACTCCCTTGATAATGTAAGGAAACATACTATTCTGATCTTTGTTGCTTGAAAGTTTCATAAAAGATTTCTGTTGTAACAGATTCACCTTGCCTTCTCTTCAAGGTCTCTTTTTGCCTATTAGTCACAGTATCTAAAAAGACAAAACTGCTGCATTCTATCCTGATTGACGACGGAAGTCTACTCAATGACATATGAACACGAGTGAGAAAAGGGGAGAAAAAGAACTAAATTCTTCAGAAATTGTGTTGTCAAAGGATGCTGATTTTTGTTGCCTTACAGAACGGATGAGCGATAATCGCTCATCAGTGTTTATGTTTCATCCGAGATCAGCAACAAACATCATGGGTATGTGAAGAATACCAAAATGGCAGATGGTACAACATACCAGATTTTGAGGGGAAAAGAAGACAATAAAGAAATGCAATTACGCGCCTAAATTACAGCATGGTGAATACAACATCAGGTGATTTACACGTCAAACAAATTTGATAAATGAGGTTGCCATATTAGAATTCTGTGGAGTACAGTAGAATGGTACGACACTCTGATAATGATTATATCTTGGCTGACTCACACTGAAGCGCGCAACATATGTATGCCTGCGAAGGACGGTGGTCCCATGTGGCCACTGACTTCGAAGTATTCCGGTCCAGTTTAGCTTTCATACTGGAGTCCATTCAACGAGTTGCACTTACACTTTTTTGAAATTTTGCCGATGTCTGTGAAGGCAAGGAAAATGGCGACAACTTTTTGATATGTGGCTTTTCAGAAGGTTTGATGCAGCTAAATAGAATCCTCTTATATAGAAGAAAAGATTGAGAAGGGAACATTTGCCAAAGTGACGCTTTGTCTATTAATCCAATAATGTTGACGTGTGAGGAATGCGCGAAATTTGAGCAAGGCATCGAATGAGTGCATAATGAATTTTTTTGCATAAAAGGTATTACATATAGAGTTATGATAAAATCAGGCTAAATGCGATGACCTTAGCAAAAATTTCGTTTGCTATTCGAAAAGAGGAACTTGATTTTCGATTTATGCATTCCTTTCTCGTCACTGCCGCCTCCCACCGCAAATCCACTGCTCATTTCGACCTCACCTGCTACATTGGCTTTGCTGGCATGGTCTTTTATCTACAGATCATAGGTGCGATAGGGTGAGCAAAAGCTCACCCCCTCTTCACTTTGGAGGTCGGACCACCCCCCCCCCCCCCTTCACCTGACAGACGAAAAATTTTTTTCAAGGTGAGGAATTACTGCACAATTACAAAAATGTCAATGAAAAAAAGATTTTTTAAGATCGAACGCAGGACCTTATAAAAATGATTTCGACCGACAATAACATGGGCAGCGGACAATGGCAGAAATTTAGAGGCTTGAAAGGCGCTGATGGACAGATTACCTGGAAAATATTGATGTGAATGATGTTCATAAGAGACCTTGCATTGATCTTGAATTTTTTTTGCAAATAAATCATTATGTCGTTTGTAGTACAATAAAATAATTTGTTGTTCAGTTGTGTTCGCTTAAAGCATAATAAACACATAGAGTCCAGAACAATGATAAAAATAGTATAAATGATGTTAGGAGAAATTTCTAGGGCAGTACAGTTGAAGTCATAATGTTGGCCATATTTAAGGAAAGTCAGTTTTTGAGTTAGTATAATTTGAGCAAGTTGCAGAATGTCATCTTGCGAGAGTATAGGCGTTAGTAAGGAACCTTTCCTCTATCACAGAGAAAAAAAGTAGATCCTAAAAAAATTCCTCTTAGAGTTATGAAGTCGCAAATAGAGCAGAAATCACGTCTCCAAAAATCGATTTTTCGCAAATAACTTGTGTGTGTTAACGAATCTGAGTGGGAAGGGTATATGTAGATTCTACTCATCAA